CTCTTTCCGATATGTTTTATTTTATCCTAAATGTCTGCTAGTACATACTGTCAAAGACAGAATAGCAGCCTAGAGGAATTTTGATCTGACTTTTCAGTTCTGAAGTGAAATAGCAAATTTGATATCCTTTTTACTATGTTCAGCAACCTATAAAGATTGTTAGACTTAATAATTTTCTTAAGCAGCTTGGGGGATTTTCTAGATTACTTTGCAGTTTTGAATGTTACATAGAACACTTTCAGAATGTTTTTGTTGGAGCATAGATTGAGAACGTCACTTTTATTTTCAGTACTATTTTCTCTCACTTTACCTAATATTACAACAATAACGTACTGTTTTATCTTTAGAATTTTGCATGCATACTGGATTGGTATGCAGAAAATGAGAAACTTGACAATTTATTTCTGCGTTATGCCTGCACAAGCAGCAGACATAGGGGAGCTGTTTGGTGTGAGCAGCTAGAACATAACAAGCATGAGCGTTGCATGCAGCAGACTTGAGTTTTTAAAAAAAAAAAAAAAAAAAAAAAGCGTTGCAGAAAGTGGTTTTTGGAATTTCATGTTGTGTGATATCATGAAAGGAACATAGTCAGGCAAGGTAAGGAAGAAGGAGGTCTTTTAAGTATGTCAAGCCAGATGTGCACATCTGGCCACATAAAACTGCTGAACATGAAAGACTAGACTCATGTTAACTGACTGTGAAGGGAGGGGGTGATACAAAGGAAAAAAAAATTTCCAAATGAAAATGTAGGAAAAGCTGTTGCATTCCTGGTTTATTAAAACCACAGGGTTGCACTTGCAATTTAAATCTCTCAAAATTCAAGCAGAAATTATCCTGCTTTTTGTGACAGTTGACTTGAAGTAGAGAGAAAGCTTCCTGGAGCCCAAGTTCAGTAGTTTAGTAACTAGTTCTGTAGAAAGTCTTGTGAATTTAAGCTACATCCAGGCTTTACACTGAACTCTAGTATGTCTGTTGCCATTCCAAGAAATTGATAAATTCACAAATCTTAGCCAAAAAATGAACCTTATTTATTCCTCAGCTTCAGTTGCCTCAACAGTCTGAGATGAAATCAAAGTCCTTCTGTATTCCAGTGGTAGCCCTGTACAGCTTGTGATTTATCTTGTGAACTCAAGAACCCCTTGAACTCTAATCCTCTCTGACCTTGCTTGATCCTACAGCTGCAGTGTTCTGTTTACTGTGAGGAAAAGTTGTTCCCCCCTCCCCCCCCTTTTTTTTTCTTTTTCTTTTTTTTTTTAGTGACAATCTTTTTGATTCTGAAAGTCTATATACATACACAAACTATTTTGGTTCATTTTGCTTTTTGGCGATTTTCCAGCCTCAGGACTTCCAACAGATGGGTAAGAGAAGATTCTTATCTCCTTATAGTGCTTGCCTGTGTATATGTTGACACTGGACATACATGCAGGCATTAATTGTAGTAGAATTTTTCCCATACGGATAGCACTATAAGCCTGACCCAAGTACTGTTCCTTTTGTAACGGGTGCACACAGCTATGAGAAGAGGAGATCGTATTTTCCCCTCATGGCTTGATTGAGCCTGAGATGATCACTGTGGAATTTGTTCTGCATCACGGCTTTTTCTTTCTCTTTGGCTAGGCTCCTGCAACATGTTTGGGGCCCATTATTTAGGAGATGTTCTTTAAATCTCGGATGTTGGTTCTGGGATGCCAGTCAGCCAAGCCTCTACCTTTCTGCCAGTTTGAATGGCTTGAGCTTTCTTAGTCATATTTCTTTGGATGCATTTGAAAAGCTTCTAGCATTTATTTTAACAAGTTATTGTTTCTTGCTGGGGCTTGTCTCTGTATGGTTATGTTTAAATTTGTTGGTTTCTTCTTTTTTAATTTCTGTTTCTTTGACAGAACATGTTTTCAAAAAAGGTCTCTTCCTTCTAATTGCTACCTTTAATCTGTTGCTGAGTCGTATTGGATTTTTTTTGTCCTTACAAAATGTTTTTGATAAGTGTCTCTTCTTCATCCTAATTCTCTAATATGGTGTGTTTATACCACAAATGAGTACTTTACCCTTTTAGTTTCTTCTTTTTAATATATTTTTAACTAACTTCCTCTTTCCTGTGTAGTTCTGCTACGCTTCTGCTGATCTCCTGTAAGTTCCTATATTTCTGTTGGCCATTATACAAACTATTTCCCTAAGGTGTGATGAGATTTGCTCTATGTTTATTATCACATTCCTTTAGGTAAGCCACTCTGGGTAGTACTGCTTATAAGTTATATTGTATTACTGCTGCTGTAGGAGCTTGGCTATGTCCCTGACAGTTGTCAGGGAAATCTTCTTAAAAGGGATCTAGGGAGTGAATTGGTGTTCACTGAGTACGAAAGAAAAAAGGAAGAGAAAGCAATTTAAACTGGCAAGATACAATCTCCTTTCTTCTATCCCTTCTTTTCTTGCAAAGAAAACTGATTTCATACTGTTTGATACCATGCTATACTTAACTACTACATAACAGGAAGTATTGGCTAGACATGCCAATATTATAAGAACCTCTTGTTCATCCATGAAAGGTGGTTTATTGATTAGCACACAGTTCTAGGACACTGTCCATCGAAGGAGGGGTAGAGTAATGAAACAGGAACAGATCAAGACATGATGTTGGATGAACTGAACTTTTTAGGGTCATCCATATCGGGCAATCCAGCCTTCAGCATCTGTAGGATTTTCACATGCATCTTCCATGCACCCATGCATTTTTGGATTTAGTTTGCTTTTTCCTTTTCTTTCTCTTTGTTTTTCTTGCGAAGGGGAGGTTGTTCCTCCAGAATCACTACACTGTATGGCCACATGTGATCCCTAAGTAGCTTATAAATAACACTTCTTTGTGATTTTTTTTTTACATATTTATTACTTTTGAGGTGGAATATCTATCAATGAGGTGCCTTTCCTGAGTATTAGTCCTCTCAACCATAGAGAAAAGAAAGAAACCTTTATCAGTAGCTTTAGTAGTAAGAAAAGTGCATGTCTCACTACTATATAAGAATTTCTTAAGTATAACAGTTAATTGATGGATAAAAGAACTGACTTACGTAACTTCCACTGACATTCAGAGACCTTTACCAGATTCTGGCAAAGAGATTACTTAACAGAAATAAGTGGTTATTCCACGGGAGGTAAATTAGATCAGAATGGCTACAATGAAGACTAGAATTAAATATGGATTTTTCCTTAAGGCCAGAAAGACTCAGGAATG